TATTTTTTGGAGGGGGAAATGGTAATGCATGAAGGACATACAGACAGACATAATCTATATATATATAGATTATGTCTGTCTGTATGTCCTTCATGCATTACCATTTCCCCCTCCAAAAAATATCTCTATATGTGCATTTCTGAACTGTTATTTACGATATTTGTAATAATTTTTGTTTAATCACTTTATTTCAACTATTTTTTGCTAATTATGTATTTGCTCGAACTTTGTTAAAACCTTAACTGTATCCCGAACAACAACTGAAGTTGTAGGAGGAAATTTGCCTATTTTACCGATCTAGGGATCCTCCTTTTCCAAATTTTAATATCAACTCAAAATAATTTAAAAAGACAAATTACAATAAAATGGTTTATTATCCAACTATCAGAAATTTCACAACATGCCAAGGAAGAGAGGAAGGAGCAATTAAATAATTAAAATTGTAAATGATTAAAAAATATATATAAAAGTGGGGAATTATCGCACTTCTGACAATCACTGCAAGTGTGTGGGCTAGATTTGGAGAATCCATGCTTCTCACATGGACAACTGTATGTGGCCAGCTCACGCGTCGGAAAACCTTCTGATTTATTCATGTACGCACCAGAAGGAAAAACAAAAAATATCGTGTATCCACAAGCATTCCAATAAATAAATAGAATTGAAACAACACTTTGAAATGTTTTCCCAATGAAAATGAATAATAATAATATAATAAGTTTCAATAAAAATGATAAAATGTAAATTGAATTTTATTATAACGAGTTTGCTTGAATTTTGTTTCTTCTGAGATTGCAGCAATGCACTACGGGTAAGCTAGTATATTATAAAATTTGGAAAGTTTATTAAGGGACAATTTAATAAATTTATAGCTTTGTAACAGATTATAGGATTCATTGATGAATAATAAATAAAACAGTATTTTACTTTCCCAGCTTGTTATGTATATAACACAGGAAAATATTTAAATCATGCCAAATTTTATCCTCCAAGCTCTGTTTTGAGACCACCTGAATCCAAAAAGGGAAAAAATTCAAGTGTGTTGGTGTCTATTTTGTTTAATATCTCAGGATGGGGAAATGATTAAGAAATGAAATTTAGTGTGGTAGCTTGTGTATAAAGAGCATTGATGCTATTAAATTTTGGTGGTTATAGATCAAGGAGTGGAAAGATAGAAAGGGGTCACGTGTCATAACTCAAGTGGAGTCAGACTTCATGAAGATTTTACTTGTTGTTAGCATTTATAATTTTATATAAAATTTGTCTCTACCCTCAAAATTAAACTATTTGCAGTTTTGTAATTATTAATAATATAAAAGTTGTTTTTTTAACAAAATTTTGTAACAGATGGTACCACAAACTAATTTTAAATTTGTTCTATTACTTCATGTTTTTGTCGGAAAATTTATGCATTTCGTTTCTGGATTTTTATTTTAATGAAATGTCTTCTTTTAAATTTTAATAATTCTGTGACTCTGAAAACTTTTTTCTAATTAATAATTTTAACTAATTAAAAATTTTAATTTTCAAAATTTAAAAACATATAACTCATTAGAAAGAACAGTAAATATACAGGCAATTTTTCTCTCAATTTTTTTAAAGAGAAACATGCTATATATCCTCTAATAGATGCCTCCTTTGTTTTATTACCGAACTGGTTGACCGACCTGGTGCTTATTAGCCTAGGGTTACGTTCTACGAAAAATAAAGAAATCAAATATACAAAATATCAAAATATACAGATATAGCAAAGGATAATTTAATAAATTAATGACCCCTTTTGCTAATTTTGGTTAATCGACTCTGATAGGACACACACAAAAATGAAACCAGAAATTTATGAGTTTCAGTTTCACCAGAGATTGACATCTATTCAAGTCTCTGCATTTATGCAAACATGAGAAGAGGGAAAAACATGTAAAAACGAACTTTTCGGACCAAAATTTGCAATTGCAATACTTGCAGAAGCGAGAGAAAAATTTCCCATGCAAACACATGAGAAATGCACACAAACATCTAGACCCTGTGTGAGCATTAGTTTTAAATTATACCACTTCAGCAAAATTACAAATTATGATTGCATTATTCGTAATTACTATTAGTTAATAATGATAAAAATAAGTTATAGTTTTTTTAAAAAAAAAGAAAATGTTCTCAAACTAAATTATAACATCAAATGAAAAAACCCATAAACATAAAATAACTTTAAATAATTTGGACTCAACTCCTTACAAATAATGTATATTATCATAGCCAACTAATTTTATTTTTCACTGTTTACTCACTTTTTCCTTGCTGGGAGTTATTATTCTCACCTATTTTGAAATCATTTTCTCTTCTGAGGCCTGTGATGGTGATATAGGGAAAACACTTTATTTGTTTCTGAGAATTCAGATTAAAAAGTTTCTTTTTGACTTACGATGGGGATGGGGGTAACTCTCCATTGTAAGTCAAGAAGAATTACATTCTGAAAGAAACTAATTGAAAATATCACAAGTCAAAATAAAGATTAAAAAAAAATAAGCTATATGTAAGGTTATACAGTATGTAAAATTACCTATTGTACAGTATATAATATGAGTTTGGGCTATCATTGAATGCACTAGCACCAAACTCAGGAGCATTTTGCAGACATAATGGGTATACTGTAAAACACAATAAGATATAAGATTTATGCGATATGCTTCTTGTCTAGTCTTGTGTACAAATATACGAGCGCTAAGACGGCTTTTCTTTTTCACTAGACTTATTACACCATCAATGAAACGGAAAACAAACTTTAGAAAGACATTTTATTTATTTGAGAATGCATTTCGGATAATTATATTCCTTTTCAACTCTTGTGTTACAACTATACAGGGAAAATTAGCATAACGTGTACAAGTTAGTAAAAAATTTACTATAATGTTACAAAATTGTAAAAGAACTTACATGAGACTTACATGGACTATGAGAAATGCAGGAATTGTGACATTAGAAAAAAATATGGATGGTGATTATTGCTTAACAGGTATAAGCTACAATAATGATTAAATTGGAAAAGATTTACAAAAGGGGAACAATTAACATAGATGTAAAAAATTTTTTGAACTTACAGCAAACATGACGGCCTGGTACATAGGATTGGAAAAAACATCCCACTAATCATGACACAATGTTGAGTTAACAGAAACAGAAAGGAGGAAACAGAAACAGATTGTTTTAGTTTACAGTAGAGTTTCATAGGATGGGGTATTCCATAAATTGTAAGTGGGAGAGGATGCATTAGGAAGGCATCACCTTGAGGAGGGGGAGAGAGAGAGTGGGTGGGGTGGACATAAGGGAAAGGGGATCGAAAAAACAGGTGTTTTGAGGGGTTAGGGAATTGTAGAAGAGTGGAGGAGGAAGGGAAAGTGAGACATATGGTTGCTCTGCTGGGTGCCGTATTTTAACACATTAATTATGCCCTATTGACACCCCCTTCTGGGTTTCTTTTGGGCAAGTATGGATACCAAGTTTCATGTAGTTTTTGACCAATATTATTATTCACTACACTGTCTTTGTTTTTAAGGATCTCAAGATGATCCTTGATATTATTCACTACACTGTCTTTGTTTTTAAGGATCTCAAGATGATTCTTGAGATCCTTAAAAACAAAGACAGTGTAGTGAATAATAATATTGGTCAAAAGCTACATGAAACTTGGTATCCATACTTGCCCAAAAGAAACCCAGAAGGGGGTGTCAATAGTGCTTAATTAATGTGTTAAAATACGGCACCCAGCAGGGGAACCATATGTCTCACTTTCCCTTCCTCCTCCACTCTTCTACAATTCCCTAACTCCTCAAAACACCTGTTTTTTCGATCCCCCTTCCCTTATGACCACCCCACCCACTCTCTTTCTCCCCCTCCTCAAGGTGATGCCTTCCTAATGCATCCTCTCCCACTTATAATTTATGGACCACCCCATCCTATGAAACTCTACTGTAAACTAAAACAATCCGTTTCCGTTCCCTCCTTTCTGTTTCTGTTAACTCAACATTGTGTCATGATTAGTGGGATGTTTTTTCCAATCCTATGTACCAGGCCGTCATGTTTGCTGTAAGTTCAAAAAATTTTTTACATCTATGTTAATTGTTCCCCTTTTGTAAATCTTTTCCAATTTAATCATTATTGTAGCTTATACCTGTTAAGCAATAATCACCATCCATATTTTTTCTAATGTCACAACTCCTGCATTTCTCATAGTCCATGTAAGTCTCATGTAAGCTCTTTTACAATTTTGTAACATTATAGTAAATTTTTTACTAACTTGTACACGTTATGCTAATTTTCCCTGTATAGTTGTAACACAAGAGTTGAAAAGGAATATAATTATCCGAAATGCATTCTCAAATAAATAAAATGTCTTTCTAAAGTTTGTTTTCCGTTTCATTGATGGTGTAATAAGTCTAGTGAAAAAGAAAAGCCGTCCTAGCGCTTGTAAAGATATAAGATGATATATATCTTATATAAGATGATATATATTCTTGAGACTTATATATATATATATATATAAGTCTCAAGAAAGATCATTAATGCATCAGTAGAACAGCTTGAGTTCAAATTCTGTTTTCCTGTGCTTCTGTGCTTCCACTTCACTTGCATTGGCCATTGTATTTGTGAGATATCATGTTAATTAAAACATTATAAGTTGAGCAGTGTCTGTACACCATTATATGGATAGATCTAATGGTTAAATCATACAGATATATTATCTCTATAATTTACTAATTATTCTTGTTTTTATTGATTTTTTTTTAATTCCTTTTATTTGGTCATTATTAAAATGTATTAGATATTGTTTTTTATTTTATTTACTTTTTAATCAAAATATTTATCCTTAATTTTTTTTAATCTAAAATGATAGGAAATTTCATACTTTACCTTAAAGTATTATATAATTGTTTTAAATAAGTAATTTTTTATGTTATATGAAATGAAATATTTTATATATATTCATATATAAATGCATTTTTCAGGAGTTTTTTGCTCATATGTATAGACTTCATTCTATGAATAGATTGCTACATTTAGAAAGTGTAAGTATGTTGTTTTATATTTTTAAATAGTATATATTAATATTAAATATAATTATTATTGAATGACTATATTTTAATGTATATTGAAATGACAAGCAAAGTGAAATATAGATGAAAAAGATTACTGTTAAATATCAAAGTAAATTTTTTAAATTATAATTTATAATTGGGAATGTTGTCATTTATATATTGATCTGTTTTAAGCTATAGTATCTCAAAAAAGAGAGTGAAAGTTTAAATAAATTTAATTTATAACAAAAGGAAAGAATTAATTTACAAAATTTATGAATAATATATACAGGGTGTGTATAATTAAACTGACAGTACTTGGAAAATTGTGGAGGGTGATATAGTGGAATTGGATGAATGTCTTAATGAGGTCACAGGTATTATGTGCAAATAAAAAAAATTGATTTGTTTTTTGACCAATAGTTTGCAGCACTGCACAAAAAGTTATAGAAAACATGTTAAAAAGCAAACCAGTCAATCATTCTGTAAATGTAGTTGTTAGGAAATTAACATTATGCCATAGAGGTTTTGATTTCAAATAACAAAACATGTAAATTCAGCACAAATTTTCAGCCATTTACATGTTTTGTCTGGCATTCAACATATAAAATTTGACATCTACACATAGACTGCTAAAAATGGGCATCTCCAGAAGCTTTACTGAAATGTTTATACCAGAATGGCTGTAGTACTCCATGTACTTTGTATGATTATTGTCACATGGAGAATATCAGAAAAGGACCTCTTTCCATATATGGACAGAAAAATATGATGCAGAAATTTGAGGTAACGGGAAAGTTATCTATGATGCCCCATCTTGTAGACACTAGAGTAGACAGTTTGTTACTCAAGCTAATGTGGAATTTATTGTGATTGATGTTGTAGAGGCCCAGGCACAATCTGAGCTATTCAGTCAGTGCCCAGCAGGTAGCCTGCAATTTGCAACTTACAGGGGCAACTGTTAGAAAAATTCTAAAATGTATGCTGAAATGGTATCTGTACAAGATTTAGAGACTGCAATAGTTACAATCATATGACTCAGAAAAATGCTACAACTTTGCTTTGTAAGTTTTAGTGAGGATTCAGCTAGGTAATAATGTGGTCTCAGACATCTTATGGACCAATGAAGCTCACTTTACCATACATGGAGCTGTGAATACATAGAACTGCCAGATATGGGGACCTGCAAATCCACTTGCTGTATACCAAATTCCCTTGCACTTGGATTATATTACTGCATGGTGTGGGTTCATCACAACTTCATAATCAGAACCTTTTTTCATTGAAGAGATAATACCACAAGGCCCCATGCATTGACACCAAATAGAGAATGCTACATGGATCATCTTCAGAACAACATGATCCCAGCTTTGCAAGAGAGAAACTATGACTCATGCAAGATGGGGCATCACTTCATATTTCAAATTGCATGGACAGTGATGCAATTGCTATGCACCAAATTTGGGAAAAATAGAGTGATTTCACAAAATTTTCCAACTGCTTGGCCATCCCATTATTAAGATCTTAATCCTTGTGACTTCTTGTTATGGGGTTATTTGAAAAGTTGAGTTTATAAAGGGCAGTGTTGCAGATCTTGCTGAACTGAAAAGAAGAATTAGTCAGCATGTTTCAATTATCTCACAAGATATGCTTAAAGCAACTGTGAGCTGTACCATTTTATGTTTTCAGCATCTATTGCATGTAAATGGCTCACACATATTGCTCTTCAATATGTGTTTTACATGTATCAACACTATTTGGTGGCACAAAATTTAACTATTGTTTTTTATTCATGCATCTCCTTCCCTGTTATTTCATTAAGACATTCACAAAGTCCTGCCACAATCCATTTACCAGATTACCCTCCACAATGTTACAAGCCTTGTCAGTTTAATTATACTTGCCCTGTACAGTAGAAATTCAATTATCCAAGTTAATGGGGATTGACGCAACCTTGGATAAAATGAATGACATAGCCATTTTGGATTAAAAATTACAAATATAGATTTATATGGTAGCACTTTTAAGCCTCTTTATATCTTATGAATTTAATTATATATAAGAACAACAATTTTTACATCATTTATTATAAAGCTAATAAGTACAGATAGTTCTAAGAATAAAAATGTATATTATTGTAGATTACATTTTAATATAAATGATTTGTTTCATATTGAAATTAAATGATAAAATTTAATAAACAAATCATTTTGGAATACATGTTAGCATTTAAACTTTCTTTTACAAATTACAGTGTAAGAAAAATAATTTATATTTTTATAGGTTTGTTGCATGTAATCCACAATTTTGGTTAATTGGGGGCTTGTCAAAATAACAAAATGATGAAAATATAAGCCGTTATGATATACAGTAGAGCGTCATTAATTCAGATACACAGATACAGTAAATTCTATATATATATATATATTGAATTTATTTGCTTTTTGAATTTAGACTATTATTTCTTTATTAGCACTAAATGTGGTATTTCTGTCAATAAAATGTCTACTAGTATTAAAAAAATATGTTTATTTATTTATTTAAAATGTTTTTTTGTCTGCTAATGAAGAAATAAGTCTGAATTCAAAATCAGTTTTTTCTTTCAAAAAGTAATTATAAAATATTTATAATTTTGGCATTAAAAATTTTCTTTCATATAACAGTTCAAGCTTTTTGCAGTACAAATATATAATGTTATCATTTAAGCTATACAATTTATAGTTTACTAGATTTTTTTATTGTTTTCCAATAAATAATAGAAAACAATTTAATGAAAATAATTTAAAGCATTATTAATACAAAAACAAATGTAATATTTATTTAAAAAATTGATGATAATGAATAGTTTAGAAAGAAAAATAAAATGATTATTATATTGTTAATTTTATCATTATTTTTTACATCCATTAATATTGCATATTTCAGTGTCTTATAACATATATCTTAATAGATATATAACATAATGTATACAGTATATCATATAAACTATTCATTTAAAGTAAATATGATATCATATATCATAGTCAGATTTATAAATTGAAACTTGTAGTGATAAGTTCATTATTGTTTAATAATAATGTTAGACAAAATTAATTTATAGTCAGATTTAAATATCTTTAATGATAAATCTTTTACTTTTTATTATTACAGGTTCCAATCAAATTTAGTTCATTGGATCCAAGATATGTATTCCTGTTAGATACTGGGCCTAATATACATATTTGGTATGGTAAAAGTTCAAAGAATACACTAAAATCTAAAGCAAGGTAATTAAATATAAATACATATCTAAAGAAATAATAGTGATTTTTGCCAGTTTTATAAATTGAAATATATGCTACATTAATTATTTTTTTAATTTTATGAATATTATTTTTATGCTTCATCTGAAATTTCCAAATTATCCTGATTTGAATTAATAGACTAAGAGTAATAAGGTTGAAATTTAATATCTTATTATTAAATTTAATATCTTAATATCTTGTTTGTTTATTTTATTTGAGTTATTAAATCAGTTGCAATTCGTTTAATAACTTTTGAATTAATTTTTATTTGATAACAATTACAATATTTTTCTTGTTTTAATATATATTTCAAATGATTAAATCATGAATTGTATTTAAAATAAATATTTATTTACTAAACCTTATTTTTTATACTATTACATTTAAAAATTCTTGTCTTTAATTAAATTTTAATTATGAGTATTTAAATCAGCAATGAATTTTTAATAATAATAAATTATAGTGGACAATCAATCAAAAAGTTTACTCTTGAGAAGTAGAGCAGTTAAGACTCACAGTGTCTTAAAACTCATTTTGTGATGCTGTGACCTGATAGGAATTGATGTATGATAAGTACGCCTAAGTCTAATTTTAAATCATTATTGTTTAAATTAAATATTGTTATAACTGGAAAAGCATTTGTGTACAAAACAAAGATTTTTTGTAATAAAAGAAGAAAAGACTAAAAACTAAAAATTAAGGTAATGACTCAGATTATTTTCATATGTGTATTTATGTAAAAATATCTTCAATCATGTGTGTCTATGATAAAGGTTTGTATTTACAAACTTGTTGATAAGTGATAGGCTGTAAGGTCAGTGTACAACAAAGAGAGTTGTTATAAATAAATTATTTAGGAGAGAGTTTAAGATATTTTAGTATGCCTGGAAGTGAGTCCTATGCATTCTGATTTTGCAACAACTGTATGAATAGAATCTAATCTCAGTCATGATAAAAATATTCTGAAACTGAATTGTTTTTATTCAATTTCAAAATTAATCAAATTTAATCAAATTTCAATTTTATAATGATGAGTATTTATTTATTTATAATTTCATGTTATTCCTTGAGCCTATAGTAAATTGTTCAAGGTTTGTTTTTCTTGTGACATTTGGCAGAGTAGTAACAAACAAGGCTACCAAATCTGAGTCAAGGCATTACTAAATTCTTCTCATAAGTAAACTTTCTGTTTGACCATTTAGTATAATAATTAAAATTTATAAAAAAGCAAAATATTATTAATACTGTATAATTATTCATCTAATAATTTTGTTTATTTGATCATTTTATTCTGTCTGATTTTTTTTGCATTTAAGCTGTATTAGAAATTAATTATAATGTATGGATAACAGATTATAAAATTTACTTTCATTGTCTTTAGATTGATTTCAGGTTCGAATCTATTCTGGCCTTGGATTTTAATGATTATTAGATTTCAATAGAGATAAGCTAAAACTATTAATATGGAATGGTACATAAAAAAGTAACAAACAAATTCTTGTATTCCAGTTTAGCTTGAGTGCACCATACAAAGCTATAATTAATATAATGTTTTCAATGTTTCAAAAACATTTAAAATCAGCTAATAAAATATAAATTTTTCATAGAATTCAATTACACAAGTTCCATAAAATTTAATGAAGCCCATTTAAATTATAATGTAACTTAAATGTTTAATTACATGTGTCTTTTGGTTTGTGCTTCAATGAATACTTCCAAAATTAAACGCCATTTTAATACATTATTAATTTATCTTATACCAGATGAGCAAATAAAACTAGAAGTCATGAAAAGTAGTGTGAGTTGTTGGCAATATTATGAATGAGACTTGATACTGTGGACAAGTAGTGTAGCAACAAACACATCCAAGTTTACACTTTTTACCAAGACTGACTCTGAACAACACAAATACTTCATTTTCATAACACTACTTATATATATATATATATATTATATTATATTTCACTGGAATTACTGGATATAATTGAGTGATTTTATGAATTATCATATTAATTTTGTTAATTAGTGATAGAGGATCTTGCCATTTTATATTAAATTTAATAATTATTTAATTCTGATTTAATTTTATATGTTGGGAAGAAGTTATCATCTCAAATCATGATTTGAATCATGCACCTCCTGCAAACTGGATTAAGTATATTATTGATTACATCATTTGCCACTTCCAATCATATACAGGTATCCCTCATAACATGATAGGTATGTTCTGAAAAAGTGCTGTTATGCAAATCTGTGCTATATGAAATAAAGGACTAATGCAAAACATAGGGTTGCATTCAAAAGCTAGCAAAAGTATAGTATTTTTTTTGTTACTAAGAGAAATATGTTTATTAAAGCAATCAATAACTTATTTTCAATAAATAATTAACTAAAAATTATAGTTAAAAAAGTATTGTATCACATGTAAATATTAATTTTAGTTAAATGAGAGCATTTTCTTTTTATAATATGTCGTCATCATCTGAGCTTTTTGTTGATCTTGATCAGAAATATTAGTAACATTTTCATATTTTTTATTTTTATGGATGACAAAATAAAAATATGTTGTTGAAAATTTGTTCTAGTGGGTTGCATTTGTTCAATTGAGTACTGAGTGACTTTTCCAGAATTTGCATTCAAATACTGAATTGTTTGAGTACTAAGATACTGCTGTATTTTGTTCATTTTACAAATGATTGCTTACCTACAGTTAAAAAAAGTTTAATAACACTTACCTAAAAATGTTTAAATAAACTTTACTAAATACGAAGATTAATCTATGAAAAGAAAAAGCAGTGACAGTCTTAAGGGCTAAAGTCTGAAAGTAATGATGATGACACCTAGTTGACAGGAAAGTTAGTGCAAGTTTTTTCTTCTTTGTCCTATTAGTTTTCATTAAAGTAAACCTGATGAAAAGCACAAAATAATTTGAAAATTTCAATATTCTAAAATTGATGGGCAAATTTGAGAGAATGTGTGTGCTTACTTGAATTTAAAAAACAAATAACAAAGTTTATACTTAAAATTTGTGAAATTTTGTACAGAGGATTTCCAAACTCATGTTAGGGTGAAACCGGAAGTCGTGTTTCATGGGAGATATCACCAATTTTCAAATTGTGTTGTAGAAATACCATGTTGAACAAGGGATACCTGTATATATTTTATGACCTATAAATTGTATCAGCATGTATCTTTTTAGCTTTCTCGCAAATAATTGCTTCTGATACGCTGTCTCCAGCACACTGTTTTTCAGTTATCCAAAACAAAAGCAATTTCTCAACATGATCTAATGTCTTCAATCTCTGTTTAGAAATTGATTTAACCACTTTCACAACGTTAGCAGATTTAATAATGTCTTTATTTTTCACGATTGTCGATATTGTCGTTCTCAGAATACAGTATGCAACAGTTAAAATCTCGAACATGCATGCCACCTTCATATTCCTCAACAATTTCTTTTATCAGTTCCATTGTGATCCTAGTCATTTTTTTTAGTTTTCTGTTGCTTTTCATTTGTCTTTTTGCAATTCATGATTAATAAAAATAATAAAATTTTACTTACAAATTAAAATCAGAAGAAATTTAACAAAGTTATGAACCGTTGCACTGCGAACGTCTAGTCTGGTCTAGTATGCCAATAGTGCTACTTGTTCATAGATGGTGCATATGATTGAATTAAGTCGTATACTGAACAAAAGTCGTATACTGAGCAAAATTTGTTTTGTCCAAACAGGACATATTCTGAATTGGACATATTCTAAAGCAGACACATACCGAGGTACCACTGTATTGAAATTGTGTCAAATTTGACTCTCCAAGTTTTTTGTTTTTTTTTTTGCAAGTAATATGTTTGGAGACCTCCCAAACCCCCAAAAAAGTCAATAAAAGAGGAAAAATTCACACATGTGAGTGTGTTGGTGTCTAATTTGTTTAATTTCTTTATTTTCTGTTCTGAGATATTAAACAATATCTCAGAATGGGTAAAGTTTAAGAAATGAAATGTGGCTCTGTAGTTTGCGTATAAAGAGGCATTAATACTATTAAATTTTGGTTCTTAATTAAAGGTCGACAGGGTGAAGACATAAAAGGGGTCATATGTCTTAATAAATATTTTACTCATTATTAGTGTTCAAAATAAAAAAAAAATAAATAAAACTTGTCTCTACCCTGAAAGTAAGCTTTTTGTCATTTTATAATAGTACAGTAAAACCTGTTAAGATGTTCTCACCTAAGATGTTAGAATGTGTATGGGAACACAATTTAGTTCAACTACTTCGATGCTTAATAACTAACTCCTGTGTTAAACCATCTGACTCTGATTTAAAAACCACAGAAATTATTAGTCTTCAAACAGGGTGAACAAAATCATGCCCCCCCACACAGTCTAACATCTACACATATAGAAAAAAATCTCGAATCTTTTGCATATTTCGAAATTTCAAGGTGTCCTGAATCAAAAAATGTAAAAATTTGGAAGGGGTCATTTTTTGACCAAGCGCTACACTTTTCCTCTGTTATATATAACAGCTGGAAAAGTAAAAATTATTGAATACATATTTATATATTGACTTTGTCATTACTTAGAGGAGTCTTTTAGCTTTGGAATAAAAAGTTTCTACATTCTATCTTTATTAGAACTCTATTTATTGAATCTTTTATTCTGAGATTACATGATGACATCAGAATTTTTGGGTCTCTGTTTGTAACAAGTCCTCCTTTGGTCGGAGTTGGAGTCAGATGGTAAAATAGAGTAGGAGTCGGTAGATTTTTTCACAGCCCTGTTTTGAACTTAATCATCATCCAGCAATATTCTACAATTGAATTGTAATTTTCTTTCCCTGATTGTCTAGCATAGGAATTTACATGTTAAATCAAACTGGTTTAACTTGAATGAGTTTTGATACAGTATTTTCTTAAACTCTCTAGAATTTTAATTTAAATAAAATAATTAATGTTCATTTATTAAATAAACTAATCAGAAATTTTCTATAAAGCATGGGAATCACATATGACAAAATAAGCATCATGTTGTGTGGTGGGCAGGGGTGGTGGGTTCCAGACAGCATGTGACTTACTACCATTTGAGCTTGCTTTTTTTTGAACATTTTTTTATATTTACTTGCTGATGTATTTCTCTGATTTGTTGACTTAATAAATAAATGGATTTTTAATAAATTAACTTTACAAAAACAATTATAGTCCAATTCGATATAAAAATTTTAATCTTTGCAACAAAATGTAATAATCATAGACTGGTATGTTTATGATAAAAAATAAAAAACAGATCAATTCTAGTTGTAAAATATCACTTTAAAATATCACAAATTTAAAAAAAATTATTACTCAATACTTAGGAGAGAATGGATCCAACTATTCTGGAGAGCATTTCTCAATAGTTCATTTAACCATTTGGATAAGTGTTTTCGAGTTTCTTGATAACACAGAGGTTTACATTGACATAACAATTCTATGTAATAAGACTCTCAGAAAACTCACAGGGATAGTTTGAGTCACTGATAAACCAATACACAAAATCTTGATTTTTTTGTTTTTGTTTTTTCTTTTTAGCTGAACCTCCATAACTCAAAGCTTTTTAACTCAAAGTTCGAAATTTTTTCCTGACCAATGCAAGTTAACAAGTTCCAGTGTACTGTATTCCATTTAACTGCTGATTTATATTTTTCTTTATTAGTCTGGTTCTAATTTGAAATGAATGTTAATGATTTTTGTTTCGTATCTGGTTTATTATAATGTAATAATCAAATAAAAAAATTAACAGCAAAGTTTAAATATTTATTTATTATTGATATTTCAAAAAACTGAACTTCTGATGCATTGCTATAATTTAAATCCTCACATTTTTTTATTACTATTTCTTTCACATGGTTGTAATAATTCTGCATAAAGTGCAAAAATCATAAGATCAATTTATTATTATTTCTTCTCAACAGACTTCTAGCTGAAAAGATAAATAAAAATGAAAGAAAGAATCAATCTAGTATATCTACTTCAGTACAAGGTCAGGAATCAATAGAATTTTGGAATGAATTAGGTCTTAAAGAGCCACCAAATCTTCCTCCTGAAGAACATGTTCCTGATGACTTTGTTCCATTTGCTCCAAGGTTGTATCAAGTTAAACTGGGAATGGGATATTTGGAATTACCACAAAGTATGTATATTTAATAGTTATAATTTAAATAAAGAATATATAATTGTTTTATTTATTTAGAAGAAAATACATATGTAATGTAATGAACTGGAAGAAATAATAATCTTCCTAACATTACATAACAATAGAATCTGAATAAAAATGAACGTAGAATAAAAATTTTAAACGTTATAACAATAACAATGTTACATTAAATATAGAAGTACATAAATTTACATAAATTTTGAATAATAAAATATTATGTTTAGTATATTATAATTTTATTAATAAAATTAATATAGAAAATTATATAAATCCAGATTGTCTATTTATAAAGTAACTAAATGAATGTATAATTTTTATAAATACCCTTATTAACTTATTTTAGTTATCTTTAGTATTTGAAATTTAAGTTTTCTTTTTCAAATGTATTTAATCTCAGCTATGTCTGTAAAGTTAGTTTTCTCATGTGATCACTAAGTGATCTGTCTCTTGACTAAACTTTACCATAGTGTCTCTAGTAAGCAGATGAGCATATTAAAAGATGACCAAAAACAATTTTTGTTGTGAGAAAAATGAAGTTAATAATAATAAATATTTAAAAAAAATTAATAATAATATAAGAGTGAATTTTTGTACATTATGCAACTTGTTGCTGGATTTTTTTAATATGACAACTTGATATTTTACTTAAGAATCATCTGAATTACAGTAATTATATCAAGTAAAAATATTAATTTTATAATTATAGAATCAAATATATAGAATGTAATGTAATTCTTTTCAGTTGAACTTCGACAAAACAGATTACTGTCTACATTTCTTGATACAAAACATGTGTATATTCTTGATTGTCATACAGATGTATATGTATGGTAAGTCTAAAATTTCTGTGTTTAATTTTGAGAATAATAGATACTTTAATTAATTCAAAAATTTTTTATTCACTTTATTTTAGTGTATTTATATTTAATTTTGTTTTTTTTTAATAGAACAGTAATTATTATTAGATAAAATAAATTGGAATTCAGTTTTAGAATTCAAATTGTTTTATTTGGAAAACAAACAAAATAATTAATTAATTAATTATAAAATGTAAAAGAATTAATTAATTAAATTTATTATATTGGTTATAAATTTATATTTTTAATAATAATAATAATAATAATAATAATAATAAGGAAAACAATTGAATGTTTTTAATATCCTTTCAGGTTAGGTCAAAAATCAACACGATTAGTGAGGGCAGCAGCATTAAAGTTATCACAAGAATTGTGTAGTATGATTCAAAGACCAGAACATGCTGTAGTAACAAGAGTTCTTGAAGGGTATTTACTTTTAAAATTTATAATTAAAATTAATTTTACTTATAAACAAGTAACTGAACAAATTTTAACTTTTTTTTTAAACTTCAAATAGTTTTTGAAGTTTTCAATTAAAGCTATTGTATACATTAAAAATTGTATACAAAAATGTGTACATGTAAAATTAAAGCTATTATATTCTATTGTATACAATAGAATATAATATCTTTAATTTTTTAAACATATCCTTTTATATTGAGATAAGTTTAACTTACATTTTTGTAGTATCACAAGTTTATGATATTAATACAGCATCAATAAAATTAATTAAACTTTGAATGAATAAAATGGAAAATCTATATATATAACCCATTCAACAGGTGTCCGTCCTTCCTTCCGTCCGTCCGTCCCGTAACCGTTTGATAATCGACACTAGAGGCGCCCCTATCGTGTGTCATATTTCAAACATTCAAATTAAATTAACAATTTTAATTATTATTTAAATTAACAATATAAATTATTATTATTCATTTGGCCAATAAATTATTATTTGGTCAATATAACAATATAAATAATTCAGTATATTTGTAATAGGAATTTATTATTGTCACGGAATGCCTGTAATGTTCACTAGGGGGCGAATAACGAAAAACCGGATAGATTTGAACCGCTACGATAAAACGATAAGTGAAATAGTTAAGCTAATATTTTAATATAATAATAGAAACCTTTCATGGCACGACCAAAGAAATACGCCACTGTGGGGGAACGTAAAGCTGCCACTGCTGCGAGACAAAGGGAGAGACGTGCGCAGGAAACATTACAGAGAATAGCACAATCAACACGTGGAGGCTTGCAGAATGAAACTCATGAGCTCAGATCTGCAATGTTGCACAGGCAGGCAGAAGCAAAACGACACAGAAGACAAAATGTCACAACAAGGCAAATTGATTCCAAATAATTATACTTTTTTTACCAACAATGTTGTGTATACAGAAGTTTTATGATGGGATAAATGATGGAATACAGAACACAGCTAAAGAATATCTTCAGTCTGTAATACAGAAATACTATTTGCTGTGTATTGATCTGTTAACATTACTTTTTAACATGAACATTTGTATATATTTATACTTGATTTTTTAATCATATTAATTCTATTTATTTGAACAATTTTGAGTAAAGAATAGATTCACTTTCTCATGTACAAATACTGTTGGCTGTTTGTGTATTGATATTTTAAGTTTAGTTTCTAAGATGAAGAATTGTATACATTTATATATATTAACTGCATCAAACTTTTAAACATTAAGCGCACACAACTTTCATATATTAAGTGCATTAAACATGCCTCAGGAATTTGTAATGCTGCTGGAACGCCCACTAGGGGGCGTCCCGGGCTACTAGTATTTAAGGAAATAATAACTATTTTATAGCTAATTCCTGTAACAAAAATAAATAATCATACTTGGGTGATAAGACACTACTGGTAATATTGTTCTATATTACATATTTGTCATAATTGCTGTTTTTCTCTTTTTTTCTTTTACTTTTTTCAATATAAAGCCATAAACAGTTACAGTTAAGTATTAATTTCATTTGTCTCAATTTTGACATTTCAATTTATGAGAAATTTTGGGAACAAGGTACACTTGTTTATCAGTGTTATACTGTATACATAATTATAAATTAAGTAAAAGTAAGATGTCTGCTATCTTGACCAAGTGTTTATGGATAGCACTTCACAAAGTCTGGTCCCCAGGTGTACCACTCTCTTTTGCATTGTTATTTAAGTACAGGATCATAGGAAGCCCATGAGGAGGTAAGGATGAGTGGCTTTGACCAAATTGGGTACATCTTGCTTCACTAAAATTCTCTTCATTTAACATAGATTGCAATTTTGATGGAATATCAATTCTACCAAGGTACAAATGGATTGCAATGACTTACAATGCCGTAAGGCATTTTGAACACGTAATTGATGCAAATGGATTGCACATTGAACAAATGTTGTGAATAAAAACCTTTTGCTTGTTTCCATTTTGTGTTTCTTGTTCTTCATGTGTCATTTTTTCACCTAGTGGTAAAAATTCAAACTAAATATTTTTTTTGCATTTTCCTTTTCCCCATGGTCCATATAACATGTATACCGAGTTTCATCAAAATACGTCCACGAGAATGGGCTCTAGACAGGTCTGAGTAGTGCAACTTTAATTATAACCACTTTTGCTGTATTTTGTATTAGGGATAGAAAATCCCAATCACCCTTGGGTTTTATTACCGTGGGCTCTCCAGACCAAACTAAACCAGATCAGACTTGACCTAGGAAGGTATGGATGTCATCTCCATAAACATAATTACAAAAGTAATTCAAACTGTGAATTTTAAGAAATTCAAACAATGAACACATTTATATGCCCTCTCCACAAAACTTTTGAACTATGAAATTCATCAGCTATCCAACCAGCCTCCAAGTGCTTGAAGAGCTGACCATTAATCTGAGAAATATCTCTCTCTCCATATATATAGTGTGTATACATATAATTACAAATTTATATTTTCAAAACACTTTATTTAAAAAAGTCCAAAAGTGATATTTGTTTAGTAGATAAATTTTGCAAGCTTTTCAATGCAAGAAGCTATGTTATATTGCATTTTTCTCTTTTTCTTGAAACAATGATAATATGCATATTTGTTTCAAGACAGTTTAAGGCTTTATTATGCTTCATTAATTTCTTCTTTATCTTTTTTTTTCTTTACCATCATCATTTGAATATTATCAATGATTTTCTGATTCACAAAAAGTTAGAAGTGATGAACAAGACTTTGTCACTGTCAAAAATTTACATTTTTTTAGCATCTATAAAAAAAATTAGAATTGGTTTGAAGCCGAACATTGACATATGTTGCTGATGGCTAAGAATAGATTGGAATGGATGGGAATAACAATTTCATGGGTTGATTCAGAGTGGAAGATGCTTAATTCCATGTATAGTGAACAATAATAATTTATAAAGAATCTTCAAATACCGGATTAATATAAAAATAACCACTTAATAAAACCAATAACCGGTATTAAATAATCGTAAAATGAACTGCGAACGTTTTCGGTTCCTTCCCTAGGACCTTTCTCAAGCAGCGATTCGTCTTTAGAATAAATATGAACGAAGACCAGTAAATAGCGATATTCGAAAAATTATTCTTCCGAACAACATTTCAAAAGTCAAAATTCAACGTTAACATGAATCACGTGCATTCCCGAATTCCGTAAATAAATTCAATAAAAAATAAAAAATGTTTGGTTTAAAAATTCCTATGCACGATGTTTACACCCTATTTATGAAATGTATTATTAATGCGAATCTTCTTTCTGTAGTAGGGCCTGCCATGCAAGGGATAGGGTAATTTCATCCCTCGAGTTAATAGGTTCAGACGTGTTGTATGCCTTGCAGATCTCCATTTGTTCCAACCATTTGATGTG